ATGCTGAGCTCCATAGAAGAAATACAACATTGTGTATCTGGTGGTATGTTCGTTGCATATTTTCATTTAGAGTTCTTAAAACGCAATGAAAAACTAAATGTAACCTCATACATCCGCCAGCTGCAACGTGTCCTTGAAAATCTGGTCGTAAAAGACCCAACTCTCCAACAGGAAAAATATTGTTTTTCTCCATGATAACGGAAAAATGTGGAACACGATTGGACTATTCTACTCCACCTGCTATATTCATTGGCCTTGATCGAAATGATTCTTACCTTTTTGTAACTTTAATCCGTGGACAAGGCAATTGGAAACCAATTCGCCATTATTCTTATTCATAGTTAGTCTCTCATAATACAGAAAAGTATTTTGCGAACAGCTAATTTTAATGTTAACATTTTGCTAACAATTCATTTTAATGTTAATATTAACTTTTTCTTATAAGTAGGATTGTCTGATTAGAAAAAAATTAGAAATATGGGACTCTCTCTCTCCCCCTCTCTCTCTCTCTCTCTATATATATATATATATATATATATATATATATATATATATATATTATAATATTTTTTGTTTAAAATATGATTCCTTCCGCTACGTAAGAGTTCTCATGCTTCAAAAACGAGAGCCGAATCCATCCAAATATTTATTAAAATTAAGTTGAATTGAGGTGTTTAGTCCCGTTTCATCTTCAAGCGAAAAACGGGACTAAACACCTCAATTCAACTTAATTTAATAATTATTTGGATGGTTTCTGGCTCGTTTTTGAAACATGAGAACTCTTATGTAGCAAAGAATCATATTTTTAAACAAAAAAATTATTATAATTATAATATATGCCCTACTTCTGTATGGAGCACTGTCTTCTTAAAAATAAAAACAAAAATACTAAGGAACTCTGGATTATGCACCTAACGTGTTCTTTTCTATTTTCTGCATACCTACTTTATATATATATATATATATATATATATATAGTTTTAAGGTGTGCTATATTTATGGGATAAAGTTTTCAATATCATAGATAGAGCGTGTGTAAATATAAAAGCGAACATTGAAGTCAACACGTAGCGGCGACAGGCTATTTCATGCAAGACGCAAAGTGTTGAGATAAAAAAGCAACGCTCATGGCCTGACGATTGCGCCTAGCATGAAACAGCCTGTCGCCTCCTAAGTGTTGACTTCAATATTCACTTTTATATATATATATATATATATATATATGTGTGTGTGTGTGTGTGTGTGTGTGTGTAGGTGTAGGTATACTTATATATATATATATATATATATATATATATATATATATATATATATATATATATATATATATACCGTGTAACAACAAAAATAGTCCGAATCATGTAACAGCACTGGATAATTGTCTAGCCCACAAAGTGTTTAATATCTAAATAACAACTAAACTAATTGAGTTCCCTTTGAGTTCCAAGTTTTCAGATAAGACATTTAGCCATCTTAACACCTATTGTCGTAAGAATCACTGAAACACCATTTGAATTATTTAGCTAGAAAGAGAACATGGCTAAAGACTGTGTGTAGTCTATCCTGTGCAGCTGTGGAAAGAAATATAAAGGGGAAACAGCCCGCCCCCCTTAACGTAAGGCTTCAAGAACTCTAGAAAGCACGAAAGGAAGTAGAAAAATCAGGCATGGCTGACCATATATGGAGAGAAAAGGGAGATCACCGCCTTCTGTGGAATCAAGTTGAGATCATAGACAAAGAATATCATTGGAAAATTCGTAAACTTAAGGAATCAGCACATATCCTAGGCCACAAAAATCTCCTGAGCCGACCAAACATAGAAATGAATACAATATGAGAACCAGTAATAAGGAGTGCCAGAGAAAAGCAATAACAACAAAAAAATTGCAATATGAGCTCTGGTAAAAAACATACACAAATACACATACAGAAATTCATACACAGATGTCCTGAAGGACACATGGCACAGTGGAAAAAGGCGTTAGTTAGATCCAGTGACAGGACCGAAAGGGTGTGAGTTCAAAATCTGGTTAAGGCAGTGGAGAACTTTCAGAGAGGAATTAACAGGATATAACTGACATCCATTAGACATGGCAAGTGGAACAAAAACAGTCTACCCCAGTGACTGAATTAAAGTGTTCAGTTCGATATTCCAACCAACTGAAGAAGGCCGGAGCGTACAACGGCTGAAAGATGAGGATAATAATATATATTTATCCATGCCCAAACATCCAGACCAAAAAAGGGAGACGTAAGATAAAAACATAAAGCAAGGAATTCTTTTAATGGGTTATGGGGGAAAATAAAAGTACAGTCATTTGAAAATTATTTAATACAATCTAAAAAAAGAAATTCTTAAAAGTGAATTTATTTGAAAATATTTATTTAATGCAGACAACACAGAAATAAACACGTCAGTTTTGTGTAAATGTTGAAACTTGACTAATGCATGGAATAATAATGTAACACAAAATGTACTTAGAACAAAATGTATTGAAACAAGAAAGTGTACACAATATTTACATATAGTCTTTTGTATATTCTTGGGAAGACCGTTCCTGGAGAATGTGTTGACTGATTCGCAGTCGGGCAGAGTCTCTGGTTGAATCTCTTGATTCCTGTATTTATCTATCCACCCACAAGGATAAAATGTGGCACAAGGCCGGTTTAAAGTGGGTATCTCCGAGCCCGTAGGCTCGGCCAAAAATATGGCCTTTCTGAACCCGCCTAGACGGGTTCAAGGCCTGTCTACCCCGGACGAAACCCTGCCTCTCGGCAAAGCCTCGTCCGGGTTCCTCACCGCAAAATGCAGAGAGTTCGACTGAGAGTGAATCTCTTGATTCCTCCCTCTCTTTCCGGTACCAACCATATTTATATGGTCGGTACTCCACTATGCAAATTAGATGGATCCTACCAAAACAGTAAAATTCTAGCAGCACTAGTTTCCTCGTTACGTTTGGGTTATTTTCATCAAGGGTATCCGAGAAAAGAAAGAATAATTGCTTATAAAGTCACAAGCAAGAACCGTAAGAAGGTTGTAAAAAATTTTTTTTAATTACGAAGTTAGAAAATGAACTAAATACGGGACGTTTGGGGTGTCCCTGAAAAGTCAGTAGGGGACAGGAGACCAAATTATCAAATACGTGACATGCCCACTATGTAAGTGACGTCTGGAAATCCTACTTATAAGGAAACATTAGGCATTCATTGACGGATTAACCAATGCAACAGTCGATTGAAATGTACAAAATCTTTCCACTAAGCTCAGTTTTTCATTCCCACTATTACCGCATTTTCCAGTATTTATAGTTTGGTTTGGTTTGGTTTGGTTTGGTTCGGTTCGGGTTGGGTTGGGTTGGTTCGGTTTGGTTTGGTTTGGTTTGGTTTGCAGCATATCAACCTTAATAGGTTATTTAATGCCGACAAGATTTTTATTGCTGGTAATATTTTTTTTTTCAAAAATACATTGTTGGTAATATTTTTTTCCAAAAATGTATTGCTGGTAATATTCTTTCCCAAAAATGTATTGCTGGTATTATTTTTTTTCAAAAAATTTATTGCTGATAATATTTTTTTTCAAAAATTTATTGCTGGTAATATTTTTTTCCCAAAAATGTATTGCTGGTAAAAAAATTTTCCAAAAAAGTATTGCTGGTATTAAAAACTATTTTTATACTTTAATAATATTTTGACCCCTTTTGGGTTTTAATTACTTGCCCGATGTGGGACCCTGACCGGTGCTGAAACCCCAGTTCAGGGTGAACCTGGGAACCCCAGCAATTTAGATGTGGTTACACGTTCCTCAAAACCTTCTGATCAAAGACCTTGCTGGCGCATGTAGTTTATCGTCTTACCTAGGACGAAGTATTGATTTGGGTTTCCTACCTAACCTTTTGCTTGAAGTAGTACGGAATATCAACATCTTCATTATGTCATTATTTTCTCTTCTTCGAGTTGCATGTGAAATCCATTTTAGTTGTTGCCGATTTTGAATGTCCTCAGGTGATCGGGGTTTTTTTTATTATTTGGTAAAGTTCTTTGTGGTTCTTTACCGAGAGTTCACAAGGTTCTAAGAAGGATGATCCTCGCTAATACCAACAGGCTTCATTCGCTCGAAGCCATTTTAACCATTGGGCTGAGAAGCAAAAAAAAAAAAAAATGTAACATTCTACGAGATTTTAACAATGAACATTTGGTTATCGTTCTTCATTTTCTTAAATATTGTTTCTTTTATCGTGACGCCGAGGTGGTTATTCTACAACCGTTGAATCAGTAGCCAGGATAGGAAATCAAGAATAGGCGTCTTTATCATTTTTTCTGTATTATTTTATATTTTTTTCTTCCATTCTAAGCAGAAAACTTACTCCCGCCACACACAAGTTGAACCGAACTCTCGGTGGCCTGCCCTCCCACTTTGTTAATATTTAATTTTGTATAGTGTGACACAAAGCCAAATGCCGTGTTCTTTTTTTATGTACCGTATCCTTTCAAGACGTAAGCGATCATGGCTCTCCACCTCTTCCTATCCCTTGTAGCTCTCAATAAGTTTCGTCCCTCTGCCATCTCCCCAAGACCACGTTCTGTCATTCACTTGCTTAAACCCGCCAGGCATATCATGAGTTGCTTTCCCTTGTCTCTCTTTCCTTCTGTTCGACCTGTGAGTATCAGATTCTCCAGGTCCTCCTTCCTCATTATGTGTCCCAGAAACTTCAGCTGCCTCTGTCATCGGAAATAAAGAAATGAGTAGCGCTTTGTTTATACTATGGGATTCAATGTATAGGAAAAGACTAAGTCGACCTGAAAGAACCTTCATCGAATAATTCACAGTGGTTGGGGTGAGATACGGTTAGTAAGATTGTGTTGCACCAATACTCATAACTGCAAGGATCTGCTTGCCTGGAGAATCAGCATTCGAAACAATATATTTTTTAAAATCTTGTCTTGTTATTGCGCCGAAACTCAGATGATTGGTGCGAATAGGAAACGCACAACTATTTCACTTATGAGGCTGGCCCAATGAAAGGGCATATCAACAAATAGTGCACGCTATTAAAAGACAAAAGCGCCCTGCAACAAATCATGATATGAGAGAGAGAGAGAGAGAGAGACAGACAGACAGACAGACAGACAGACAGAGAAAGAGAGAGAGATAATAAGAGAGAGAGGGGAAAACAGACAGACAGACAGAGAGAAAGAGAGAGATAATAAGAGAGAGATAATAAGAGAGAGAGGGGAAGACAGAAAAAAAGATTAATAACAGAATGCACTTTTATAGTTGTTCGTTCACCTATTTTATTTCTAAAGTTGATCACTGACATATGTATACTATTTGTGTGAGAATATAGTTTCGGATTAAAATAAAAGCCGTATTTCTGTGTCAGTGTATGTTAGCAAGATAGATAGATAGATAGATATTTCTGGCCGAGTAAGTGCAGCAGGCAGATGGTCAAGGAAGCATATTCACCATTCAGCTCCTATTTCTGGTGCCGTAGTTTAGATAATGTCGCTTTCAAACTCATAAAGAGAGAGAGAAAGAAAATGTGATAGTCATGACTGAGGATATGACTTGCATAGATAGATAGATAGATAGATAGATAGATAGATAGATATGAACAGACAGAGATAGATAAGTATGAACAGACTGATAGATAGATAGATAGATAGATAGATAGATAGATAGATAGATATGAAAAGATAGATAGATAGATAGATAGATATGAACAGAGATAGATAGGTATGAACAGATAGATAGATAGATAGATAGATAGATAGATAGATAGATAGATAGATGATATGAACAGACTTAGATAGATACCTCCGTAGATTAAATAAAGTGCTCTATTCGAAATTCACTGAAGATTACCTAGCTGATTAAGCAGCTGATGAAGCCCTAAGGGTACAGTCGAAACTTTGTGATTCTAACTACAATGAGAAGAATTGTCCGAATGTAGATAATGGAAATGATAATAACTCCTCAACCTCGAAATTCAGACTGAGAAACTGAAAGAGAAATGAAACTGAAGTTGACAAAGGCATCATTACAGTAATAAGATTCATATTGTAATTATGTATGTAAAGAAAAGAAAAAATAGATACATAGATAGATAGATAGATATGAACAGACTTAGATAGATAGATATGAACAGACTTAGATAGATAGATAGATAGATAGATAGATAGATAGATATGAACAGACTTAGATAGATAGATATGAACAGACTTAGATAGATAGATAGATAGATAGATAGATAGATAGATAGATATGAACAGGCTTAGATAGATAGATAGATAGATAGATAGATATGAACAGACTTAGATAGATAGATAGATAGATAGATAGATAGATAGATAGATAATGAACAGACTTTAGATAGATAGATAGATAGATAGATAGATAGATAGATAGATGATATGAACAGGCATAGATAGATATGAACAGACAGATATATAGATAGATATGAACATAGATAGATAGATAGATAGATAGATAGATATGAACAGACTTAGATTCTCACATACAGAAACAGTGCTGGGGTATCTTTTACATCCACCGTTTCGCTTTGGATTTGAATTACAGCGTGTCACATGTTTACAAAATGCCGCTTCTTATACTGCCCCTCAATAAATCTCGACGTCTCCCGACGAAAAGCTCAGCCAACAAAAGCCAAGATTCTTGGAGGGAAGTAAGAAGAATAGTTACGAGTACCAGTGGGGTCGTAGCAGTGAAGGTGATGAGTGCGGTTAGCAACACGCCAAGCATTGCCCACCCACTCAACTACTCACCATCAGCATCAACAACAACAACAACAACAGATTTGGGGTCACCGCACCGAGCCATCCCGGTTTCGAATTCTGGGTATGTGGGAATGGGGCGAAATAAAACCTCAAAGTGAAACATGTGCGATTTATAACGGTGGTAGGGTGACGGGTAATGGGGCTTTCTCTCTCTCTCTCGACCATTCGTCATTCACATCTCGGGTCCGGTCTCTACCCTGAAGTTAGAAACTCAAGACTCGGAGATGGATAAGCAAAGAAGGGCTGGATACATTGCCACCCACTTTTGCTGAACCTTCAAAAACAGGAATGTCTGAGAATAGAAATGTGGGTTTGAAAACTGTCTGTGGGTGGAAAGAGCTATAAAGAAGCAGAAGGACGTGTAGCTATGTTTTATAGACTACGCAAGTATATTCGACAAAGTACGCCACAAGGACCTGCTAGAACTGCTCACCAACCTTGATATATTCGGGAAAGATATCAGAATAATCAAGATCCTATACTGGCAGCAAACGGCATGAATTCGCATCGAGAATAAGCTCAGCGAATATGCAAAAATAGAAAGAGGCGTAAGGCAAGAATGTGTCTTCTCACCGGACTTATTCAATCTATACAACGAGGCACTTCTAAGAGAACTAGAAATCTTACTAGGATTCGTCATTGGCGGCCACAATCTTACCAATATAAGATACGCAGATGACACGGTACTGATAGCAGACACAGAAAAGAGACTACAAAACCTCCTACAGAAGGTAGCGAGGGAGAGCAAAAAGAAAGGATTAACTACAAGAAGACAGAATGCATGGTCATCAGTAAAAGGACGAGCCCGAAATGCGATTTACAGGCCGAGGACACTAAAATTAACATGTGCGCGGAAGTATCTGGGAAGTGTTTTGAAGGAGGAGGGTAGGTACGACGCTGAGATCCGAAGATGGATTGGGATGGCCAAGGATGCATTTCAAATGCTAGACAGAGTATTACGAGACAGGTGGATTTCTTTGGTAACATCTGTTCTATACGGCAGCGAATGTTAGACGGTATCCACAAGGATAAAGAAGAGACCCGAGGCGGCGGAGATGTGGTTCTACAGAAGGATACTGAGGATATTATGGACCGAGGATGTGGGCAACGATGAGGTCTTGGAGAGGATGCAAACAAGGAGAAAGCTTATGCTGACACAAGAAAGAGGCGGAAGAAATTTCTGGGACACGTCATTAGAAATGAGGGCTTGGAGAATCTGATACTCACGAGACGAATAGAGGGGAAAAGAGACAGCGTATGACATACGTGGCGGGCTTGAGCAGGTGGATGGCGGAGGGTGGTCTGGGGGAGTTGGCAGAAACACAAAACCTGTTGAGAGCCACAAGGGATAGGGAGAAGTGGAGGGCAATGATCGCCTACGCCCTGAAAGGACAAGGCACATTAAAAAAAATGAAAGGGGGAGTTGGTCTGGATTTGTCGGGTGCTGGGGATGATTGGTTACAAAACTGGTTAATCTGTTGAAACAACAACTAGTAACAGGTTTGATTGATTGACTGAATGCAAATAACGTAATATTATCGATGTCGACAATGGATAGAGCAGCCACTTCCTTCTAATTTCTTTTATTTATTTCTTGATAATAGACGATCCCAGCGAGCACCACGGTTATTTCAAAAAATTCCTGTCTGACGCAAGCCTTATGAGTAAAATTTGGCAGAGGGAACTTTTCGAAAACTGTCGATAGATGAGTCAGCACGAAGTCACAATTTATTATGACCAAGGTTTTGAGTACGAAGTCGCAAGTTATTATGACCAAGGTTTTGAGCACGAAGTCACAAGTTATTATGACCACGGTTTTGAGCACGAAGTCGCAAGTTATTATGACCAAGGTTTTGAGCAGGAAGTCGCAAGTTATTATGACCTTGATTTTGAGTACGATGTCACAAGTTATTATGACCCAGGTTTTGAGTACGAAGTCACAAGTTATTATGACCAAGGTTTTGAGCACGAAGTCGCAAGTTATTATGACCAAGGTTTTGAGTACGAAGTCGCAAGTTATTATGACCAAGGTTTTGAGCACGAAGTCGCAAGTTATTATGACCAAGGTTTTGAGCAGGAAGTCGCAAATTATGAGCAGGTCGTAAATTATTATGACCAAGGTTTTGAGCACGAAGTCGTGTTATTATAACCCAGGTTTTGAGTACGAAGTCAAGTTATTATGATAAGGTTTTGAGTACGAAGTCACAAGTTATTATGACTAAGGTTTTGAGTACGAAGTCGCACGTTATTATGACCAAGGTTTTGAGCACGAAGTCGCAAGTTATTATGACCAAGGTTTTGAGTACGAAGTCACAAGTTATTATGACCAAGGTTTTGAGTACGAAGTCGCAAGTTATTATGACCAATGTTTTGAGCACGAAGTCGCAAGTTATTATGACCAAGGCTTTGAGTACGAAGTCACAAGTTATTATGACCCAGGTTTTGAGTACGAAGTCACAAGTTATTATGACCAAGGTTTTGAGTACGAAGTCACAAGTTATTATGACCAAGGTTTTGAGTACGAAGTCGCACGTTATTATGACCAAGGTTTTGAGCACGAAGTCGCAAGTTATTATGACCAAGGTTTTGAGTACGAAGTCACAAGTTATTATGACCAAGGTTTTGAGTACGAAGTCGCAAGTTATTATGACCAATGTTTTGAGCACGAAGTCGCAAGTTATTATGACCAAGGCTTTGAGTACGAAGTCACAAGTTATTATGACCCAGGTTTTGAGTACGAAGTCACAAGTTATTATGACCAATGTTTTGAACAGGAAGTCGCAAGTTATTATGACCAAGGCTTTGAACAGGAAGTCGCAAGTTATTATGACCAAGGCTTTGAGCGTACTGTCTTAGTTCAATTACTGAGAACACCAGATTATGTACTTTCTCGCAGTAACTAAGTTTCACTCAAGATAGTTGAGCGCCTTGTCGGCTGGGGTTTCAGAATACACCGACTGCTCCTCTGCAGAGTGGTAAGACCCACTCCAAATGAGACGTCCTAGGTAAGACGATAACATCCCCGTCCTGGGTAAGACCAACAGCAAGGCCTCTGATCAGAAAGTATTGAGGAGCGTGGAAACACCTCTTTATTGTGGGTGTTCCCAGGTGCACCATAATCTGGACTAGTAGTGAGGTCAAAAAACTATAAAAGTGTAAAAAATAGGTTTCAATATCAGCAATACCTTTTTGTAAAAAATTATTACCAGCAATGTATACCAGCAATACTTTTTTGTAAAAAATTATTACCAGCAATAAATTTTCGAAGAAAAATTATTACCAGCAATACATTATTACCAGTAATACTGTTTTGGAAAAAATATTACCAGCAATACATTTTGAAAAAAATATTACCAGCAATACATTTTTGAAAAAGAAATATTACCATCAGTACATTTTTTGGGGAAAATATTACCAGAAATACTTTTAGAAAAGAATATTACCAGCAATAAAAGTCTTGTCGACATTAAATAACCCATTGAGGCTGATATACCGTAAAACAAACCAAACCAATCAAAATGGTTTCAATATTAACCATTGAACATTTTGCCCTAACAAACGAGTACTCTCGGAATCTTTCAGACATTATTATTAAATATAGGCATTTACATATCCAGCCGTAATTATTTCTATATTACATACTCATTTCTTTATCTCCGCATATATATATATATATATATATATATATGGGGGGGGAGGTTGTTTGTTTGTTTTGTGTGGGGGTATGTTTGTTTGTTTACTTGCTCATCTTGTCTGGTTTTCGCATGTCCGCACGTCGACAGCGCCTCACTCGACTGAGAAAAACATTGGTGATATATAGCTCACCCAGTTTCCGACCCACGCTGTCTATTGGCTAATACCTTCCCAGTATCGTTGATAATAGTCTGTGCCACCGCCTCTAAGTAGAAGGTCATAGTTCAACAGTCCATTGTGGAAGGGAATGCAACTCCTGCTGCTTACGGTACCATATACAACCAACTTGGCCGACCTGATTCTCTGTTACAATATATATATATATATATATATATATATATATATATATATATATATATATATATTAAGAGATTTTTTATGTTTATACGTTCTTTTTATAGATACAAATATTTAAGTAAATGCTCTGCTCATAATAAACAATATTAACGACCTGAATGTCCGAAAAAGTTTCATAAAAATATGCGTCCTCCAGCATGAATCGAACCTGTATCCTATACGGAAAAGTTATATAGCCTGACGTGCTTTTACCGATTGAGTCACAGAGGAGCGTTGCGGTTAGCATGGTCAATTTTACTGCTTTTAAACTACAAATCTCCATGATTTTCTCTCGTATATTCATATCTGCTCGATGCGTATCCAAATGTAAACAAATGACGTCACATGAAATGGACAAAGTTCGACAATTATTTTAAGACATTTTTATGTTTATACATTCTTTTTTATACATACAAATATTTAAGTAAATGCTCTGCTTATAATAAACAGTATTAACAACATCTCTCTCTATATATATATGTGTGTGTGTGTATATATATATATATATATATATATATATATATATATATATATTCTTTTTATACTTTATTTTTATGGATACATATTATTTAAGTAAATGCATAAGTTTATAAGCAGTAATTTATACTTTGCTAACCGGAACGTTCTCTGTGGCTGAATGGTTAACAGCACGTCAGGCTATATGACGGTTTCGGAATGGGATACAGGTTCGATTCCAGTAGGAGAATGCATATTTTCTACGCCTGGCATTCTTTGGGTGATATACATTGGAATTTCGAACGGAACCCCAAGGACACATGCGATACAAGTGGATAAAAGCGTTGGTCGAAGAAATCCAAAGAGTTGTGAGTTCAATTCCTGGTCACAGCAGAGGCGAGCAAAAACTTGCAGAGTTGAGTTACTAAAGGGAATAAACTAAAACTGAGATACTCCCCAAAAAGCATGACACGTGGAATTAGAAAAGTCTACCCCCGTGGACTGAATAAAGGGTTCAATTTGAAATTCCAACATATATCATCTGAAGAAGACTGGAGCGTGCAACGGCGGAAACGTCGTAAATAAGACAATAAAGATAAGGACAATAGCCCAAACAATCTAAATAGTGTAAATAGTTACAATACCTCATCTCAGATATAAATATATATATATATATATATATATATATAATTGTATACTTAGGCAGCAATCCTTCGCTTATGCATGTTTCATTAAAAACAACAAACAAATTACTACGGTTAGGCATTTTATTTAATTTTTCTTGTATTCAAACAAGAGCTTTCTTTTCTGGACAAAGAATGTGTAAAAACTGTCTAAATGTTTTATAGTTCCAAGCGCTTTCGGCTATACATTTAGCCATTATGGAGGATGATTCAATTTTTCAGCTTAATTGAGTGTGTACATTATGTGCATGTTTTAGTGTGTTGTAGAGATGTTTTTAATTTCCGAATACGGTTAGCACATTGTGGCCTTGTTCGTAGTTAATATTGTTAAGAATAGGCTTTTCTTTTTTATTATTTTTTTTTATCTTTTTTACAAGTATATTGAAGTTATTATATTTGTGTTTTCTACTAGTATGTTTCTAATGGAGTCTGGTAAGTTTGTGTATGTGTTTAAATGGGTTCTAATGGAGCTATGATCAAATAGGTGTAACCTATGGCGTCTAGATAAGCATGTAGTTGTGTAACCGATGTAATTAT